AATACCAAAGCAAATTGGCACAAACAATTTTTTTCTCACAGAAAATTGATTTTTTTTTTTTTTACAAAATTTTGATCCATTTGACCTTGAAATATAGATCAAAGGTCAAATCTAAGGTCATTTACAAAATCTCCACATATGACTTTTGGCCAGACTTCTATAGTTATTTTTACCATAATTCCTTCTGTTTGGGAAGTATTTAGCATTATGCTGGAAAAAAAAATCGAAAAAAAAATTGATTACTTCTGTAAGTTTGAAGACAAAAGGCATATCTGTTTTCCTTACAATGTGTTATTTGTACTGCATTCAATATAATATATGCTGAAAAAAAAAAACTGAATAGCTTTTGGAAAAAGGTCCATTCAAACAGTTAATCGAAATTGGCCTGCATTTTACTAATATAACAGTTTTTGACTTATCATGTTATCTCTGAAAGTGCATGGCAATACCTACGCTGACAGTGGCGACAGATGCAGGTGATGGCTATATGTACAGACACTATATGTCTGTACATAAAAAGACAATGCTTTGACTTATTTGGCAGTATATCTTATAACACAGCAATTGTCACAAAAGATAGTGACAATAAAACAGTTTACAGTAACCTAATAACTCCTTAAAATAAATTTTAATTTTCAATGAATTTTTAAATGCTGCAACAATAAACTTTCTCTTTTGAATCCAGTCTGAACCAACCAAATACATACCATCTCTGATTGTGGTGTACATTTCTGCAGGTGAATGTTTTTATCGTGTCTGTGTTTACTTATCCACTAAACACAGCCAAATACAGTGTACAAGTGCAAAGATTACAGATAAAGTTACCTGGCTGTTGACTGAAAGAAACAAACTATGATTGATTTGTAGGATTTTTCAGTCATGTTTTTTATTCATGTAAATGTGCGACTTCCTGACTGACTGACTGATATCTTTTCAATAAATCATTAGCATAGAATGAAAAGTATGAGCTACTCAAAAAAATATATTACTGTCGCATGCTTTAATGTGTCATTCTTACATGTGATACATGGGAAAAGGGCTGAAAACTTGTTTTGTAATGCTGAATATACACCAAACACTTAAATGTGAATTCCTCAGGCTACCACAATCAACCAAAAAAGGATGTGGTTTCTTTTTAATCTATATTCTTCAATGTATACATAAAAGTGACTGAAGGAAAAACACTTATAGCACAAGGTCACAGAAAAAACACTGTTTCTTACCATCAAAGTGACAAAGTAAGGAAATTTTGTTTACAAGTCAAACTCCCAATGTTAACCAAACAATTTGTTTCCTAGGACTTGAGTATATAGCAACAGGCATTTCATATTACTCAATAATGAACAACTTCATGGACAAAGGGTACAAACTAGACATTGGCTAGACAATTTCTAGAACCTAACATTTAAAAGACCATGGTGACTCTTGTATAAAGAGACCAAAGAACCTTCCAGGAAAACCTTTATTTAGAATGACAAAACTTGATCAAGGACTTTTAATTATTGCCTAAGGGAATACCTCAACTTACGAATAAGTTTGCTATGATATCAACTACATGGACATTGACTGTTCACTAAAGACAAAGCACCAAACATCACTTAATTCATTTGCTGTTATTTGTTTAGTATTTTCTTTTTTTTATCTCTGTCTTACCGAGGAATGCTTATTACAATTCAAAATATATATTGTGTGGTTAAATAATACTAAAATAACATTGAACTCCAATTTTTTCCACATCAGACAACGATGAAAAAAGTCAATTATTATTCATTTCTGTAACCAAATTTTATGCTTAAAAGTAAGAGCACGCACATATATGGGCCCCATGAATAGTTTTCCTATCCTTTCAAGTCATCTTTTCACCCACATTCTTAATCAATACAGGAAATTCAGCTTAATTATTTATCTATTACAAAATCCCAATTTCCATGTGAAAAAATTTCACTGAAAACAGATTTCCAATTTCCTTTTTTTTCCAAAACAAAGCCATAAATCATACAAAAATACTCCATACAGTACAGCTTTTGGAAATTTTATCCGAATTAAAAATATTATGATTTAAAAGTGGCTACATTATGTAATAAGACATATTATAGGAATTGTGACTTTTGTTGGGTTATGCGGGAGCCATTCAGAATGGATTTAAATTGATGACTTACAATGATATCCCTTACAAGGTGAAAAACAAAGTATATTCATATATATGTGTTTAATAATTATGAAAAGTGAGAACAAAATTCTGCCAAAATTAACAAAATTCATGAGTAATCGTTAGCTTAACCAACTGAAACCTGTGAAAATTAAAATAATACAAATTTGCAGCTGTCATTTCAAATGTTTTTCCAAATAAAATTTAGGAACCTGAAGTAACTACAAACAGCAGACAAACACCAAAAATTGCTCTGGCCAACCTGTCAATAGCATAAATGAGTGGCTGCCACTTCCCAACTTTGACCAATTGGGAAAACCTCAAGGTCATTTTTCAGTACCCCCCCCCCCACACCGTACAAAAGACACAAAGAACTATACAGATAATGACTATCACTGGCTCTGTTTTAACAATATTATCCTGACAAAAGATAAAAACAAGAATGATAATCATCAATGCAAAATACATATTAATCTTTATTGGTTCCCTACTTTTCCCTTTGAAACTTTGCATCCTGACAGATTAAATCATCAGACACAAAGTCCATGTTTACAGGACATACAAGGCTTTGGCATTAATAATTCTAATTATCCTGGTTGGTGATGGCTCTCCTGTGAACTTTTATCTAGAACCGCCGCCCTGACCCAGGGCTATGTAGCAGTAACAAACAAGACCATTACCTTCACGCTACTGTGAGAAAGACCCGCCCACCTCCAGCACATTGCTACACTGGACCAGGACTGGGACTCACGAGAGTTCTGGGTTCAATAAACAAGATAGTGGCCATATTTCTTCAGTATAATCATACGTCTAGACCTACCAATATACACTATAGAGCCCTTTTTGAAGTAAAAGTCAGGGTAGCTTTAGATAATAATCTCAACCGACTCTTTTGTTATAATTTCAATCAAAATAAACTGCTCAATATTTCCAAATCGTACACACAAAAACAGATTGTTCTATATCAAACACAAAAATAATTAAATAAAAATGTTCAAATTAATGGTTCTGTCACTACAAAGTAAAATTTCAAGTTTACACTATTTTTCAATCGCCAGCGTCCACCATGAACAGACAACACAGACCACCAAATAACAATATAGGCTTCCTTCAATTAACCAGTCAATACTGATGACATAAACACAATCAGAAGCAATTCTACCTCAAGCGATGTTGAACAGACATCAGTCAACTAAGTTATATAGTTGAAATCAATATTCAGTACTAAGTAGGAGACTATTCAGATAGTTCAAAAAAAGATATATACATATTTAAAAGATAATAATAATAACAATATAGGAGGGTGGGGGCTTTCAAAGTTTCTTCTCTTTTCCTTGCTAAATACATGATCTGTTCATACAATGTACTTTTTTTTTTGTATTTATGAAATGAAATTATTTCCTAATATTCATATTGAAATGTTTTGTGTAAAAATTATAAACTTAAGCAAAAGTTATATGTAAAAGAGATATGCCATCTATAAAACTGCAAAATTATTTGTAAAAACACTGAAATTGAAAGCAGCTTACATAAAGCTAATTAATCAAAATAAAATATTGCATAACAGAGATATGAAATTTGACCTTTAAATTTTTTTTTGAGTTTTATTTGGGGATCAAGGCTTATGCAACATAACTATCCTGAGAAATTCAGAAGACTTTCATCTATAATACTACTACTACAGAGATATATCTATCTACAAAAAGAAAAAAAAATCACTATTATAACATCATTTCAATTTCAGACCATCTTATTTATAAACACATAAATACCTAGTGATAAGTGAATAATCATAGTATACATCTCTTGATGCCTCACATACTAAATCATTATTCAAGATTCAAACTGATAAAAATATGGAATTCAATATATTTTTATAACATTCTAAAATTACAAGGTGAAACACAACAAACAGGTCAAACAGTGAAAATTAAAAAGAGGCAAATTCATTCCTAATGAAGGGAATACAACACTTACTGTCTTATCCTATTGACAAAGTTGAAGAGGGATTGCTACTCATATAAACTTAAACTCTGATGCTACCCCAAGATCCTTGAAACCACCCAAACTTTTTTCAATCAATATCTATGAAAAACTCATTGCTCTTTTTGGTATTAAAACATACTGTAACTTCAAATCAGACTGCTTTATTTGTCCAAGCATTTTTATCATTTTCTAGTATCTTGTATAAGGAATAAATTGCCGTTCTGTCAAGGATAACGCAGTTAGACAGGAAACACATTTTTATAGTGTTTTGAATGAAAGTGAAGTTGACATTAGGCATTATGAGAGAAAGCCTGCTCTACTTGAAGTAAAGGTGCGAAAGGTGACAAAAATATGTGAAATGTGTTAATGGCTTTAAAGATTAATACACCTAGAAATCTACTGATTTGATAATTAGCTTCAATCAACAACAAAATGTAAGGATCAACACGTATATATAGGTGCTAGCCTAAACAAAAATATCCTTTTAACACTGATTACACCTGAACCCATAATTTTTTTAAAAATGAAAACATGATCTAAACACTTACTGAAAAACACAATGCCTTCAAATCCACACATAGATCATTCAGGGGATAATTTACAAAGAGTTATTTAATCATTTATCATAACAGTGAGTTTGGTGTATTTTAAGTTTTCTAAGACACACTGAAGAAGAGGTGACTATCAGCCCAACCACAAGCAACAAGAACTTCTTCAGAACCTAAATTGGCAACTCAAAGAAAAAATTCTAATATATCACATTCAAAAGGGGTAAAGAAAACAAAATTAGCATTCAGAGAGGTATGCATGCAAAATACGTTAAGCCAATTTAGATTCTGGTAAAAGGCAAGTTTTTGACACTTACAACCGAATTCAGACATCTGCATGACTGTAATGAAAAAGTATATGATTGCACACAGATGATATTTATAATCAACACGTATCTTAAATGGGAAAGGACAGTAAGTATATGTGGCCTTTAAATGCTATGCAAACAATATCAATACCTTTACATGTGCCAATGCATCTGTTAAGTGGCAGGGGATGGACAAAAGCACAATGTTAGTATGACCATTGCAACTGTCAAAATTTCTTTTTGATGCCCAACAATGAATTTTGGAGTAGATAAATAGCAGAATGAAATTTATTGGTAACACAAGGCAACTTCATTGGCTGAGAAGCCTCTGTATTATACCAAATATCACAGTCTCAATCGTAAAAAACTACGTTTTTTAAAATCTAGGTTTTGATTTAAGGCATTGTCCTCTGTAACTGTATATGTCTTGAATGATTATTGTGGAAAAATCTTGTCAAAGAACAGCATAGTCGTCAGTACAGTTATAACATTTCATCTTTAAAATAATGGGCATGGATTTCTCAACTTTAAAGCAGACAGATATGGTCATAGAAAATGAGTATCTGGCTGTGCATACACAAAGCATGGTTGTAATTAAAATAACCAAATAAGTATGAAGATCATTCAATTGAATTAACATACCACTGTGCGATCATCTGTACATTTGGTATTTAAATGGTAACCTTTTAATCTACCAATGGCTTCAAGTATATTTACCACTACAACTTACTTTCTTCGTCTTTTGAAGAAACCGAAGAACTTATCACCACCAGTAACAAGCAATTCAGTAAGTTTTTATACATGATCGTTCCAATTAACTTGATTAAGTCCTTGCTTAACTGGTACAGAGTGTATGCATTTCCACGGTACTCTCATTGTCTGTGTCAGTTCGTCAGCCTACATGGCGGTCTTTTCTTTCCATAGTTCTGGAAAAAATATTTAAAGCAGCATAAATAAAATAATATGCCCATGTCAGGAGATAAACGATACCATCAAACCGGTAATGATCAGGCTGCTACATTAAAATGTGTCCATGAAACCAGACATGTCAACATCGTACTTGGTGAACTTGCCTTAAGTAAGGATAGCGTTTGAAGGTCCACCTTTCTAGGAAATTGACTCCTTGGTCATCCTGTCTTAGTGTGGTCTCCACATAGTGACCCAATTATTATTACATCTAGGTAATCGTTGCACAATTGCCTCAACAAGCTTGTTTTTCAGTACAACTGCTCTCACAAGAAAACAAGATAGATGTAAACAACCTCGAAAGCTGATTGGCTGACGGGCACCGTGAAAGCGAGTTACGCACCTCATTTGTAGCCGTAGTTTCCAGGCAGGACTACGTGACCGACGTCATCTGTTCTTTGTCGGGCCATGGAAGCAAAATGTAAATTATTTGTTTTACAAATTAAAAGGAAATAATGAGTGAAATATTCCTCGTGTTAAGACAGAGCTAATTTCGCATTTCACCGCTTTTGACCATTTTATATTTTCGACTTTTGATAAATAAAGGGGAAAACGGACAGCGGCACTAAAAATGGGATGATAAGTTAGTTGGGGGGAGAGGGGGGGGAGGGTATTGACCAATTCATGCAGGACTTTGACAGTCGTTTTACTAAGCGAGACAAGCATAAAACGGTAGACGAATTTATCTTTAAAAAAGAGTAGGGCACGGGGTGGAAAAATGCTTGATTATTCGCTCGTTATTATATGCAACTCTATAAAGATTTTATTTCAAAATTCGGTGATAAATTGGGTCATTTGTTGCAGGAAAAAAAAAGGTCTATTTGTACGGCCTTTAAGAGGGAACTACAAATTAAAGTCCCAATAAAAAATCATTGTGGTAAGAAATCTTTCATAAATTTCTCTTTTTAACAGTTAAAAATTTCATTAATAAATATCATAAATGAAAACTTAAAACTAAAAAAAAAAGAAAAAAAAAAAAAAAAAAAAACAGATCCAATGAAAATATTTTCACATTTACTGTTTTTTTTTTTTTTAAGTTCCAATAGTCAAAAGAGGACCCCCATTGGATATTTTCACTACCCATGAAACCCTCTTTTCATTTCCCCAGATGTGTGAAATGTTCATATTTTTTAGCGCGACATGTGAAGTACACGTACCATTCCTGTGACGTTAAAATGCAGCTTTTTATTCTTCACCCTGATTATTTGTGATTTTCAAGATTTTTATCTCACATTATCAGTGAGATGCGAATAAAGTTTTATTTCCTGTGGACTGTGATCAACTATCCCTCTCCCCAAGACCATGAAACCCTAACAAGTAGTTCTCCAAACTTAATGTTTTAAGAACACCTATAAACAAGTGTTTTTAACATTTAAGTCCCTTTTTAGAGTATTAATTAAGATTAATTTGGTTGTAAGCTCTCACCTAAGTTAATTTAGTTTAACTTTTGTACAACTTCAACTTTGGGTTACAATTTTACTGAAAAACTATTATTATATAATTATTTTTGTTTAGGAGCGGGATAAGGATATTTTTTTTATTTTTGTTTGGGAGGGGATAATGATATAAAAAAGGGTTATCTTCGAAGTCATGGGAAAGGACGCACTGGTGTGGCTTCCCCTAGGTCTATTAGCACTGGGTTATTTGAGAGTGAAAATGAATGAAAACTAGAGGACCCATCAGAGAGGCGATACTGCCTCCGAGTATATACCACCAGCTGAAGTAAGCACATTCGTATGGAAAACAAAATAAAAGGACACCACCTACAGTGTTGTGCTCTACAAGCTCTACAAAATGCATTAAGCAAGAGCTCAGTTCATTATGGACAGTGGGTCAATGTTCAGTTAAAAGGTCACAGGAAGCCTGTCAATATATGAGTTCCATTCAAATCCAGAAGTAACTAAGATGAAAGGAGTCCCTATAATTGTAACCCCACACTATAATATGAGAGCTTAGGTCTGTGAAGTTTCTGAAAATTGGTAAAAGAAATTTTTTGCAGAAAATCCCCATAATTAGAAAATTTTGGCCCTTTTAACCTTGAAATAAAGTTCAAATCCAAGAGCATATGTGGAATCTCCACATATGACTTTCGGTCAGCCTTCCATAGTAACTTTTCCCATAATTCTTTCTGTTTTGGAGATATTTAGCATTTAATTTTCAAAAATTTTGACCAGCATGAGTTTCAACGAGTGTCATGCATATAGGCCAATGCACCGACTGAGACAAAAAACCAGGGGTAGTCCATACTAGGGGTTCAAGTTGAGATTAAATGTGACCTAAATCCCAGAGACGGGGGTCTAGGAGGAGAAACAGTAACGATGACTGAGGGTACCAGACTGCGGAGCCGTACAGGCCGGGCCAGGACTAAAAGAATGAGTACAGCGCACAAGCTGATGGTACCAATAAAACACACAGTGCACAAGATTTATTTATTATTCCAATGTCACTTTATTCTCTGTTTTCATATTTGTAGAATCTTTGTATTCTGGTCTGTAGTTTTTCAACACCCCAAATCCCACCCCACCCTCTACCAACAAACACATCTGTTGACAACTTTGACAAAATCATAAATTTTTTGCACTTTTTTTTTAAGCAAACAAAAAATAAATGTATTGGCATTTCAATTTGGTAAGTTGGGAGAATATCCAAAAATCACTTGACTGCTTGACAATTCCAACTCATTTATTTCTCTTCATCTATGTTCATGGCACAGAGAAGATTTGAAAATATAAACATACCAATTAATTCATCCAATTTATGTGCAGGGATTGATGCTTGTCCTTTTTGCTGGTTCAAGGTTACATTTAACAAAGCTGAGGCAATGGACCTACACAGGACAATATATAATCTGGGCCATTAATATGTGCACTGAGTAACAGTATACAATACCGAATTCACTGCTTATCTGCATTGACGATAAAGATGATAAATAGAATATGACTCACTTCTCTCTCTTTTCATGATTTTTTTTATGAAAATGGAATAAAAAGAGATAGTTATTAGTTGTCCATAAATGGCAGTATGCCTACATCAAAAGTTTTTTATTGACGATGGATGACACTCACAATCCCAATCCCAATCATGATTGATTATTCTGATATCCCACATCAGACGGGTCTAATGATGCACAGTTAACAATAAATCAATAGCGGTAATAAGAATATGAGAGATAGGGAGAAACCAATAATGCACTGGCAAATGAAAGAACAACTAGCAGTAAGCTGAAAGTAAGAATGGGTTGAGGAGGAATGAAGTTTAAACTCTGGGTACATGTTAGGTCCCTTCACTTGACCAAAAAAAGTTCAGAAACATCCCCTGCGAAAATTTGTCTCATTTAATGCTCACTTACGGTTCCCAATCTGTCCTAGAATTAACATAATGTTTTTCTCTTTTAATGAAAAATGTTCTTAATCTGTTCTAGGACATTCTGAAGGACTTCCCAAAAAAACAGGTCTTGCACTGTTTTATTCATTACAGAACAACATTAGAACTGTAAAAAAAAAAAAAAAAACACCAAATGTTGTAGAATAGATTGAGTACCATAAGTGAATGTTAAATGAGACAAATTTTCGCAGGGGATGAAATTGTTTTTTTATAATTAAAAAACTATGTAGTTTAGTGGTAAAATCTACAGTGTATATAATATAGTAATAAATGGTGGGTGCATTTTACCTTAGCTCATATGGTTATTTTATAATTATTCAAAATAGCAATGTTTCCAATTTTTTAGGTCAAGTGTAAATCAAGAGATAAATGAGACATCCATCAGATGGGTCTAATAGGACGGTAGGGGAAAATTAATAACTGTTATTTTTGTTTTTGAGGTTTTTACTGTTGCAGGTTACTTGAATTTGGCACTTTTTAGATTGTGTGTGTGTTGTCACTGTTGTGTGTGAAAAATAAAATAAAAATCCATAGTGATTTTGATACATCTTTTTTTTCATGTTATTATACTACTGCATGAATTCTCTGATTTAAAAAAAAAAAAAAAAAAAAAAAAAAAAAATATATATATATATATATATATATATATATATATATATATATATATATATATATATATATATAAACAGGTCTTGCAGGGAATATATATATATATATATATATATTCCCTGAATGAAAAATTATTTGTTATTGCTAAATGCAGATAAGTGAGAAAATATTTGATAACTAACATTGGAACTGTGTATTGTCACATTTACGCTGCCAAGGTTCCTGAAAAGTGTTGCTCATTCCAAACTAACCTACTGGGGATCAATTTCAATATGGGCCCTGTTAAGTTTGGCCAAATAAGGCCACATTCACAACAGTGGACTAACTTGTCAATGGATCAGATATGGTGACCCACTTAAAAGCTTGCCGTATAATCTCCTAATAGACACTGAATAGGTTTCCTGTGGGGATTAAGCAACAAGCACTCTACTAGGTGTGCCATCTTTGATCCATGGACTAGTTAGTCCACTGTTGTGATTGCCGCCTTAGTGGGGTTAAATGCCTTTCCTGGAATGAATCCTGCATGAAATTAAGTGCTATAATTGGTTTAATCGGGGATTCTGCTGAAAGGGGATATCTTGTTTTCCTATCATGATTTTCAGTAACACGTGCTGGCCTAATTAAGTCACCTTTGGATTACACAGTAAATATTTACAGCATATAAATTTAAATAGTAGGACTGAAAAACAAAAAAACATTTTTTTAATCTGATCTTGAAAATCTATCATTTGGTCATTTTCTCAATGAAATCCTGTCAGGTATGCCATATAACTTCTAATATATAGAAGACAACTAAGAAAATTAATAAAAAATAAAAACAAACAATTTTTTCTTAAATTGATCTTGAAAACTTTTCATTTGATGTTTATTTTCTCAATGAATTCCTGTCTTGTATGCCTTGGTATGAATAAGAAGGGTGGCAAAATTACATGAAAAGTGTCTCTATGACAAAGACTCCTCATGGCTCATCTGAGCAATAATCTTATTGCCCTCTTGGCAAATGCCCTCTTGCCATTTCATCATGGGTCTGCCGAAATTGCGCAAAACGCCGCAATACAGCGCAATACACTTGAAAAAAACGAGTCCAGTCACAAGTAAACACAGGAAACAGCAATTCCAAACAAAATAGTCTGATATAAGAACATAATATATTACTAAATAATCAATGGCCTTGATAAAACTTAACAAATTGGCACATTTTGTTTATCATTGGGTCAACCGCCATGTTGACTAGTGGCTCTTCTTGGTCGGTAATATTGTCAAGAAGAGCCACAAGCCAAAATGGCTGCCAACCCAACGATATTAGGAGTAGCGCTGATGTGTTAGTTATATCAATGATATCAATAATCTAGTCAATTATTTTGCTTTTATATCACCTTATTTTGTTGAGAATAACCGTTTTCTGTGTTTACTTGTGACTGGACTCATTATTTCAAATGTATTGCGCTGTATTGCGGCGTATTGCACAATTTAGGCAGACCGTTTCATCACAGCTTCTCTAAAGCTATGGCATAACATATGTCAATGGCCTCTTGCCATGTCCATGCCTCTTGCAATCTAGGCTCATCTTATTGCCCTCAATAATAACATGCACATCCGTAAGTAAGAAGATTATGACATCTCTCATAAGAAACTTTTCTTGATATGAAAAAACTTCAACTGTCCAGTTGAAATTAAAATCTAGACAGGAAATCCATTGCAAAATAAATTACCCAACTAGACCAAAAACAAGCCCATGCTCCACAACCTAAGAAAATGAAAGAGAAACAAATATCCAAGTGGAGAAAAACACCTTTTTTGGTTTAACATTAGTTTGCTGCAAAACATGATCAATCACCAAAATTCATAAATAACTTAAAGCACGGTTTGAATTCAAGTACTGCCTAGTTTTAAAACCTGCTTTAAGGAAGGTTTTGAGAAAAATTGAATCTGTGACATTGGTAAAGAGTAAATTATAACAGTTGTTACATGTACTTTAATTTATCAAGTCTTAACCAGATTACTCTTAGTTATAGGCAAAACCAGACTAAAATATGCTATCAGCCCTTGAAGATTAACCAAGGTCATGAAAACACAAGTATGTAAAGATGTATCAGTAAGAAGAGGTGCACTTTTGAGTAGTCCTTTCTAGTGCAGATCGATGTACATTGTACTTATTGCAGTACTTGACACAGTGTCAAAACAAAGTTTTAAAAGACAAGTATTATATGCAGCTGAAAGTGTTCTGAGAGGCATATATATATATATATATATATATATATATATATATATATATATATATATATATATATATATATAAGCAGTGATCTTAAATGTATACAAGTATCTGAAGGCAAAAGAACTAAGATATGAAATATAAAAGGGTTTTCATACATGTATATATGTATTATAAAGGTATATCACAGCATTTTTTCAATAATTTCATCTGTTCACTTACAGCTCAAACCATTAGAGCTCATGCCAGTCTTGATCACAGTAAACTAAATGTACATATACACCCAATAGATGGCAGCACAAATATAAGCATATGACACACCCAGTCCACCCCTCTATTTGCCGCATTCTCTGAACAAGGAATCACACACACTGTCCAGAGGAAATATCTCATGTCTCCACTTCCAAGATCATTTTCTGTTTGATATGTATTTTTTTCTACTCTTTGCAAAATCATTGTCTATCCTTTATTTTCAAACAGTAACGGAAACTTTATAAATAACAATTATTTGTCACATATATCGTCCAGATTGTCTCCAGTTGTGGAGTAATAAACAATTTAAATTTCACATTACTGCATGTTTTCAGGTACTTCTATCATCAAAATGATATAGTTGTTTTTACTTTTTTGAAGGTCACACCATGTTAAAAATGGGCCTTGAGATTAATGGCAACATTTCATGTATTTAAGTTCAGTGATCAAATGGTTTCTATTTACTCAGATGTTTAATTCCCACTTCACTGTTTGTTGAGTGCTAAAATTCTAAAATCAACTTTGAGATAGTGTAAATCTAAAAACAATAGAATTTTAAACAATTATTTGCGGAACTGATAAACAATGAAATTCTTTGAGAACTAGTGTGATGTGATCATAAAAGTGAGTTTTAGAGAAAATTTCTGCTGCATTTTGTACTGATCGGAGTTCAGATCAAACTGTTGCCACCAACTAAACAGGAAGTAACAAGGGCATGGATTTACTTTTCTCTTTCTTTTTTCAATAAAATGAAATATTTTTGAGATTCCCTTGAGATGGAAAAATATGACCTCCAGATTTCTCACAGTGCTCAAAAGCATTATGTTTATGTGCTTCACTATATATATTCTACATTTGCTTAATTTTGAAAAGTGACAAATAAAATAAGTGATCTCTATGTTATCAATAAAAAACTAGTGAGTTAGCATTAGCCAATTTCTTAGCTCTCTCCTACATGCTTGGATACATGGCATCACATCATCTGGCCTGTCGCAGACTATGTATATTCGGGAGTTGTCAGAATATAACATCGGGTTAAAGACATGTCTAGGTACCATTTCCTTAACAGGATTAAAAAGTAAACAGGGCCCTAGAATGGGACACTGCAGTACACAGGTATACTGCAGAACCAATATTGAAGCCAACTGTTCCCTTCATGTAAGGTTGACAGTGCAGTGCCTCCTAATTTTCTTCCAGAAAAAAAAGCAAAATTTCCTATTCACAAAGCATTTCTTGATCTGTTCAGGCACTTGTAATTGATGTTTTATACCATTTTGATATAAATAATTGAGTTCTAAATATCTAGGCAGACACTGGGACAGACTTCCTGACTTTTCACACATAATATGTACCATGCAGAATCAGGTATGGCATTGTTTTCACTTCATAACAAGAAAATGGTTTGAGTTCTGTAGCATAATTTCACTTGGCTTTGGTCAATTGAAGAAAAATGTGATTAAAAAATTTTTCTTTTGTCAAATTCAAGTTTGTCAGATTTTTTCAAATCCTCACCCATTTGACATGCAAATACCAATGTTAAAGTTTAAATAACATTCCTAAGGCTTCTTTTTAATGAACCAATACTGAAAAAAAAAAAAATTATTAAATTTATTATATAATATTGAAAACCTAGATTGAACTTGTATATTTTGTGCAAGGCTATTAATTTCCCTTCTTAAAAGCTGTGCCTTCAAGACAAAATGGAAAGCAAATTCAGACAACCTCCATGGTACTTTCTGGTGCATGTAGTGAGTTCTGCCCTAGTTTCAGAATCCCAATAAATTTACCTTGATACATGTATATGCAAATACTCCTCATGGTAAAACATGACGTACCAAGTAATATTCTTTATTGGAATGTTCACAGTTACAATGTTTGGTTTTCAATTTCTGTTAATTTTTGTTCAATGAAACATCCCCTCTAAATATGCCATTCTTTGCTTTTATCTAAAGATAATAGGACATGCGGTACAAGTATCAGATATTAGTGATAAGGTAACCAAAGATGTGTGGTGTTGCAAGATGTACCTTGATTTTGCTGAAACAAATCTTATTTTACAGACACCATGCAGCAGGTTTGCTACAGTTAGGGTCTTCCATGCCACAATAGGTACATTTATTGTCACATGACAGTAGTGGGAATCAGTATCTTGAACGACACACCACACATATTTAATTACCCTGTCACTAACATGATTGTACCAGTTGAAAGTATTAGTTGGGAGGGTGTAAGTCATTTACTTGATGTATTTCACTGGGTCAACAATTATTGCACTGATGCATTACTGGGCTACCTTTCATAACAGCATATAATACTACAAACAGATTTATAACATAACTGCCACATGTTCCTTCACAAGTGGGATCACAGTTAAGTTGTATTTCTTCAAGGAAACCTTCCATCAAAACAAATCAAACCACTGTCAGATGTGGGTCCCATTATAAAGATTGTAATGGTACTGACAAAGACCTCATCTTTTTAAGAGTTACTCAGGTATTAATCTCTGCAATTGTGTTATTTCATACTTTGCACATTTTCCCTTAATCACTTAACTTCAAAAAAATAATGCCATCACTGTATATTGGATGGGGTAACAGGGCAGTCTTTGATGAAAAGCATTTTTTACTCATTAAAAGGCACTTTGTAAATAAACATTGTTCATGGCATTTAGATCCATAATAAGACTAATTTTAGCAATAAACACTTTTAACTTCTTGAATGGCATCATTTTAGGGCGCATAATAGGGCGCATTCAGCTTCAGACATTGTACCAGCTGGGCCTGTCAACTCTGCAGGGGATTGGCTTTAAGTGCAATCAGTTGGCTCAGATTGATTGTCTGACATGCCTTCTCTAGCAGCCATAGGGTAATTAAGACAAGCGCACATGGAAGTTAATTACCACATAGCTGCTCAGGGAGACCTATCATACAATTAAGCTGATCTCACTGACTGCACTTTAACGAGAAGCCCCTGCAGGGTTGGACTGACCCAGCTTGTATGATGTCTGAATCTGAATGCTGCCATAGACTTCTTACAACATATGTTACAATACAAATGTACAAGCAGAAAAACTTACCACAAACAGTAATATACTGGTACAAAAACAGTTCTAAAATGTTGTAAGCATTAAAAATTGTAACATATGACACATGAGAATCATAGTACCATCATTGTAGCACTTATCCAGTTCCAGCTGGCTCTTATAATAGTTGAAATCTATACATTATAAAAATAAGCATGATGAGTAAACATATCATTTTTCTAAAAAACACTGTATACATGAATTGATCTTCTTATTCCATAATATTTATGAAAATATTAAATTGTGCATTTTAAACATATGCATAGGAATGTGTCTTTGGATTTTTTCTCATTGGAAGAACAAGCAATACATTTTACTAATAAAGCAAGGATCAGATAGATGCCACGACAACTGAACCAGAACAAATTAATCACTGAATGCCATTAAAATATCCCCCACTCCCCACAAACTGCTTTGTCAAAGAGGAAAAAAGGGCTGGGATAAGTTTTTCTAGTGGCACCCTGATAGATGCACATAAATAGTTTTTTATGTAATATAAGGTGTAAGTATTTCATGGCGATCAAGCATATGAAGTTTCAGGTAGCCCTCTTATGCCATGGGATAAATTGACCTCTGAGATGTATGTCAAAGTGAAACATTCACCGAACCCTTCGGTTCAAAATTACCAGGTACCTGGTACACCCCTCTGTGACAGAATGAACTGTCTATAGATAGCTTTCCTGTGGCCAGAGCTAAGTAATCAACAACTTGTTAAGCTCTTTGTATCTTCAGTGAAACTGACTGAAAACTGTAGGAAATGGCCAGACTTCATGATAAGGTATCTTTTAGTTAATTTTTTTCCTAAGTAAAATACTACATAAATATAAGGAAAAAATAACATTTTCCAGGTATACAAAATGCAAGTTCATGGTTTTAGTAGGTAAGATTTTATTGAAACTGACTGATGACCATGCAAGACTGTGCCCAAGGACAGATGAACAACCCCTATCCAAGTATACCTCAAGAGGTAAGGTATAACAACATTTGGAATCTAAGAGAGAATTCAGACAGACATATCATACTAGTTTGGTCTGTCCAACTCTGAGAGGGCTCTGGATAAGTGAAATGAGCCTTAACTGAATGACAGGCCTCCTTGAGCACCTAGAGGGTAATTAACTTTCATATGCACTCGGCTTAATTACCTCCTAGTTGCATGACAATTAAGCCCATTCCACTGATTGCACTTAAGGAAAATCCCCGCAGAGTTGGACCGTCCCAACTCGTATGATATGCCTTTTTAGAAAGGGGTCTAACTTTCATCCAAAATGTCACTGTCTAAAGTTTGGACACTGTCTAATGTTTAGAACAATTAATGTTAGAACAATTAATTTCATCTGTTTATGAAACTGTTTGTTCACTTGCTCAGAGAATATGGTCTTTTCAGCTTGACAGATACTGTTGGCAGCTCATTGGAATGATAATAGTACAGTAAATCAGGCAGTGTGGGGAATTCTGTGTCTTCTTTGAGCCAATATCCTTCTTCTGGCTGCAAAATCATTTAAATTAAATTTCTATTTAGTAAGGTACCACTGTCTATAAAAAGCAGAATGATAAAGTGCTTTTAAAATGTTCACCAGATCAAATGAGGTATGCAGCATACAACAAGCCTAAGGGTACCAAATTATGTACAAAATGTGTCGTAGCATCTGTTTGATTAACAAGTTTAAATATGGGAATGACAAAGTTATCTTTGTTGAAAAACATTTAACTATTGCTAATTGCCTTTTACCCCATAAAAAAGAACACAATGAAGAATGAAGCTTATGAAAAATGTATTAATTTTTATAGGAATAGAAAAAAGGTTTATTTAGGCCAGCATCTGACAAATATCAATACCTTGTGGCATATCCGGTACTTTTTTGGATGCCCTGATGCATAAACAACTAGAACCTGCAAATTCAAAAGGAAATGTTAATTAAACTTCAAGAACATGACAGGTGATACAGAGAAAACAGGAAAGTCTACAAATACTGAATACTGATGTTTCATCTACATCCCATACACTTCTTCAGGGAACCAAACTAATTGTCAAATGTCAACCAGGGCCTTGTCCCTTAACTCGTGTTATTGGAAGTGCAGCCTGCCATGTCTATTCAGACGTGTATTCAGGTATGCTAGTTTCTCTAACCTCCCCTAGACAACCTTCTAAAACTTTGCATCAACTGGTTCCCCCAAGCCTTGTAAGGCTTGAAATAAATTGGAAAAAATATCAAAATGTCCTACTATAGGACAGAGAAACCATCCCCGAGCAAACATGACTGACAGGTATTTCAATTACAATAGAAAAAGGACTGGGCCTCAGTGGACATTCCAATTTGATTGTCAGATGACAACAGTGACATTTAGTTCAGCTTCCTGAGAAAGTATTTAATATATACATGAAAGATTTGAGTGCCATTTTTGTCAGGAATCTCATATATTTTCATACCATATACCCTCAATGATAATCTGTTCAATGATTTCATGTGATCATTTTATTATTATTACTTAATCTCACCTGCTGGTTGCACTCACTATCCCTAACTAAATATACTCCTTCTTCACCTAGGTTGCGCAGACACCTAAAGGAAGAAGAAAAATGGGTTGCTAAAACTTCTTGGATGATGTCTGTCAAAGTTACACAGATTCAATTCTGTAAAGATCTTAAAAGTTCACAATAATCAAAGAATTAATAATTATTTTAGATTTGATTTTATAATCATTTTATGCACCATTCCCTATACTCGTATTCTGCAAATTTCTATCATTAAAACTGGACTTACTCATTTGCTTCGTCTTTATCTCCATGCCAGAATACAGATGCCCAGTAACTTTCACTGTCTCTTACTTTCTCTTTAATTGGCTGGAAGGAGAGTTCTGGTAATTATTTGATTTTAGTATTCTCTTTATGAATTTTAAAATGGAGAACATATCTGCTTGCTTCAAAAATGAATCTCTTGGAATCTGATCATGAACTGATTCATTTATGTGGTCCCTCCTTCAGTAACATCCAACTTTTGAAATAAAGAGGGTTTTACATCAAACATTCCATTGCTGTAACAGTAAGAAAATAAAGAATTACCTTTAACTTTGGTAAAGGACGTGGAGGCGCAGGAGCAACTTCATCTGGCACAGAATCGGACTAAAATGGGAAGAGAGGATGTTTTTGCACAAGACATCTTCATAAAAACACTAGCTTCAGCAACAGCCATTTACATATGTATACAGAACCACATATTCCAAATAACACACAAGATTCAAGACCAAGTATAAAATTGTTCTAAAATGTCATACCATTTAAATAAATTAAAATAAATTTTGCTTAAGATCAAATGATTGAAATTTCATTATTTAACCTACCCTGTCTCTTCTATAAGCAGCAAGATCGAAAGTTTTACTCTTAGAGCTCTGTCCATCTGGACTTTTTCTTCTAAAATAAAATACAATGTCAATTTCAGTTACTGTAATGAATGTACGATAAAAATGCATGAAACTATGAAGGTTATTGGTCTTTATTCTATAAAATAGACGTAACTGAAAATGATAACATTTTACTTTCAATGCCTCAATATATAACTCGCTTATCTTTTACAGTGCTTTAAAATCTATGGTTCCAAAATGGTCATTATGTAAATTATACATAATGAATAAATCTTATAAATCATATATAAATAAATGAACATGGAATATTAAAAAAAAAATTACTTCTCGGTTTCTGGGCCTATTGTATTAAATGGTTTAACGGCTAATTTTGGTTTTCTTGGCAAGTCTGGTTTTAAAGGCAGTGCAGGTTTGGCACCTGCAGGAAGCTAAAAAGCAAAAACATTAAGAAAATAATACAGAAATATATGACATTGTCCACGTATTGCATTTCATGATAAAATGAACTCCACAAACTTTTAGTGGAAAACATGCATACTGTGTAATTTCACAAATATAGCTTAAACAGCATAAAATATCAGAATGTAATTTAAAAATATTGAGCTTTGACAGTCTTAAAGCAAAATGAGTCAGATATATTTGTGTGCAATACTATGTATTTTTGTTTACCTTTTTATGCATATCTTCTCTCTTTCCTGGCAATTTTGGAAGAGGCCTTAAGGGAATCTTCATGTTCATTTCCTTTGTTAACTGCTTCACGTCAGGAAGTGTTTGAGATGTATTTTCTGAAAGAGAATAATGCTTTCTTGGGAAATGAATTCTATAAAAAGGCAAACATGGATTTTTTTGCATTATGTCTTGTCTGCAATTCAGCAGGTATATTAATATTACTTGATTACTTACAGATATTATCTAGTTGCTGAAAGAAACCGCCACTGGTAGTCCAGACTTGTGGTTATGTACCATATTAGCCAGAATCAGGTCAATGTTTAGTTTTATATTTTTCCTTTAGGAGATATGAATCCCAGATAATGATGTTTCATTTAACAAAGGCATTATTTAACCTCTTTACTGACAAAATCAAAAGCCTTAAGGTTTCCTGACACCGAATTGTAGTGCTTGTTGTTGTGATTAAACAGGCACTAAAATAGTGGCGATAGCTGTTTAGGTGAGGCAGGTCTGTTTGAAACTGATATAACAATTTTCACTTCAAAAACTGACATATTTTTGATGTGACACCATTTATCTCATATCATGACAATGTTAATTTACACATGTTCTAAGCAGATCAAACCCCCTAGTGGCTTAACCATTTTATAAAATTCTTACTGGGACGTGGTATTCTTGGTTCAGACTGACTGTGCTGAATTGATCGCTTTGTGGGAGATGTAATATTGTCCTGCATTTCATCTTCATTTAGCATCAAATAATCTTCATCATCACTGTCTGTAAAAAGGCACATATATTAAATTTTAGACACATAATTAAATGAAAAGAAAGCTACAATGGTGCCTGACATATTATATTAAAATATATAACCATCTTCTTTTCTTTCAGTCAAGCTGTATCTTTCCATATATCTTAATAACATAATGACAATAGTAGTGGATACAAAAATATTTTAACAATGGAAAAACAACAATTCTTGAAATCTTACTGGCACATACACGAGAAAAAAATCAATGAAATATACCTTCTAATCTTATAAGGTTTTTTGGCATACTGACTTCACTACAATCATCATATATTTGCTTCTCTAAGTCATCATAAGTTTGGGATAATGCATCTACATCAGCTGCATCTAAGGCTACAGAATTATGCCTGCTTTCTCCATCAGGTTTTGATCTGAAATTCATTATGTTTTGAATTATCATGAACAGTAAACTATTACCTTAGGTCTTTGTTTTCAATAACAATGCTTTGTTTATCATATTGTCTAAATAATTGCCATCTCTTTACGATGTATATTACATTAAAATACTAACTTTTCATATTTATAACATTACTAGCTCCATGGTCATAATTTGCTTGTATTGTAGAAAACCTCTAGTATACAATAATTTTACCTTTCTGTTGTCTTGCCGTTGGCATAAAGCATCTCCCTTTTGACATCTTTCATCCACTCCTTAAACAAAAGGTTTAAGATGACTCCAAAGGTTTGACAATGCATTCTTATTGACTGTTATATCTAGTTTGAATCAAGTATTTAGTTTTGAACTTTGACCAGCTTTATGCCACCAAACTAAACATACAAAAGAGCACCATAAAGTCCTGAAGATGACTCAAAATGTATCTTGACATAACTGCCAAGAATGTGAACAAATACTGAAAAACAGATGCTGAAACTCTACCATTTTTCACTTACCCTAACCAAAATTATATTTAAAAAACATACTAGTACCTTCATCTCTGCTTCTGATGCAGCAGAAAAATAGTATGTTTTCATTTCAGGTTTTGCATGAATAATCTTAAATGCCCATGGTGCTTCTGACTGCAACACATCCCCAGCTCTGTGAACACTGAAATAGTTGTTATATATGTGCAAGTTTACTGGCCCAAACTGAAATTCACTGGCCCACATCAAATTTAAAAAAAACTTAAATGAACACACTGAAAGACTTTAACATTTAGTCTGAATGTATATAAAATAAACAGGAGTAAATGTTACAGCTGATAAAATCCACTGGCCTGGTCAGACCAGTAACTGACTTTTTTCCAAATTTTCACTGGCCTGATCCAATTTTTATTACCAATGGCAGTCAGCTAGCAGGCCAGTGGTTAACATCATAGACTGTCACTTTGGCATCTTTTTACATTTTAGGCAAAAAATGCCTTTCATAAAATTAATAACATCTGGATGATAATTTTTTTACTCTATTTAATCTATAGTCTACTAATAACTTAAAAAGTCCTCTACACAAATCCATTTATATATTGATGAAAATTTTTTTTTACATAGTAGCTTATACCCAGCGAGAAAAAAAAAGGCTTACACATTATAACCGTACAGAGATACAGCACCATTTGGGGATCGGGATGTCTCACTGGAGAAATGGTACAGACAGCCCTTGCTTAGAACAACAAACATGTTTGTCCCTGTAAAACAAATCAACAACACATTCATATACTATTATCACTACAATGTATTATTTTTGTTATCATAATTGACACCATCATTGTTATCATTACTAATTTACATAGAACTTACTTGTGCATTTACAAATATGAAGGTTATATATACTGCAAAGAAAACATGCACAGCAAATAAAAAAATACAGTAGAAATTACAAATGACTATGTTGGAGAATACTTTTGTTTCCAAAAAACATAAATAGTATCAGGTGTACATGATCACTGTAATGTTTTAAATGAGTAAGTCAGGAGTATTTAAAAATGTATAACTTCCAGAAAAAGAAGCCAATTAGACTGCTTTTCTAACTCAGGCTGCATTTTAGTCCTGTGTTTCTTTTTTTAAAGTTTGACAGTCATAAGTAACACGGTTTTCCCATAATGGTCATCAAGGCAGCAGCACCAAAAATTGTGTTTTCTTCTATTTTGATGCAACATTACATAATGCTTAACAGCATAATGACCATCGATTTTTAATAATAAAATATAAGTGTCATGGATTTTCAGAAAATGTGACTAGCTTGGGCCTTCAAGCCCGTGGAGGTTCTAAGTCACACCTTGGAAATGCCAATATGTTAAAAATTAAATTTTCACAAAAAACTGTTTAATTGCCAGAAAAATTTACCAAACAGACTGCATTGCCTACTAAAGCTGTATTTTAGACCCATGTTTCTTTCCTGTAAGTTTGAGAACAGCAATTGACATGATTTTCCTTAAATGGTCATCATGGGAGTAGTGCCCAAAATAGGGGTTTCTTCAAATTTTGATGCAACATTACATAATGTTTAACAGCATAATGACCATCAATTTTTAATTATAAAATATTAGTATCACGGATATTCAGGAAATGTGACAAGCAAAGGTCTTCAGGATCATGGAACTTCAAAGTCACACATTGAAAATGCCAATATGTGAAAAATTAAATTTTCACAAAAAACTGTTTAACTACCAGAAAAATTTACCAAACAGACTGCATTGCCTACTAAAGCTGTATTTTAGTCCCATGTTTCTTTCCTGTAAGTTTGAGAACAGTAAGTGACATGATTTTCCTTAAATGGTCATCATGGGAGCAGTGCCCAAAATAGGGGTTTCTTCAAATTTTGATGCAATATTACATAATGTTTAACAGCATAATGACCATCAAT